TATAGATGGTTTTAAGGTCTTTTACTTGTTGTTAGCCATATTGGAAGAATTAGGACCTGCTGTTGTAGAGTTGCTGGACCCTAGTGGAGACCTATCTCCACTATCTGGCTGTTATTTATCATGTTTTTAATCTGGTGTTTTACCATCTGGGATTGGGATGATCATAAGTCTAGCTGAACATATCTGGTTTTATCTTTGTTAGATGGGTTCCCCACCTTGGTTTCTGGGTTGTTTTCCTCTTCCTCCTCCTCCTCCTCCTCCTCCTCCTCCTCCTCCTCCTCCTCCTCCTTCTAGATTTTAGGAGAGTTTTATGGCTTCATGTTGCTGGTATTAAATTTTCTGTGGATCTGATAGTTGTAGTGTTTGTAAGTTTCAGGTAAAATGTGTTTCCTGGTATTGTAAACTGACACTTAGGAACGGAGATGGGCTAGGGCTTGAAGGGGTTCACAGGAGATGTGAGTTCAAAGTGTTCAACCAGGACTTGCTTATTTAGTTTCCTTGGAATGGGGGGCAGACAGTGAATAGAGGTTACCCCAGAATGTCTGCTATACTTCTTGGTAATGAGATTGGTGGATTGTATCTAAAGAAACAGAAGGAGAGTTATGATATACAGACAGCGTGTCTGTTTCCCTTGCATGAGTGGCCTGTTGGTTAGCAGGAGGTGCCTGCTGGAGTTGAGGACTGGGATAAAGCAGTGAATGAAAGAAAAGATTAGGAGGGGAAAGTCTGTGGGATCCACAGGAGATGTGGGGTGGGAAAGAAGACTACATTAGGTGTTCTGTTGCAGAACTAGGGATGAAACCGAAGAATTGGGTTTGGAGGAGAGAAGGGAGCTTACCCATTTCCCTGGCCTGCTCAGCTGGTATGTTCACAGGAAATGAACTGTTTCTTTCTTTCTTTTATTTAATTTGGGGACTATTATATTTTCTTTTTCTTTTCCTTTTGTAATTTATCAGTCAGATTTATGTTAGTAAATTCTCAATCCACAAAATGCCCACACAATGAACTCAAAGCTCAGTTGATATAAAGACAAGCTACACACCTTGATGGGACAAATGGACACTACTTATTATTTAACCGTCTATCTAAGAAATCCCCAATACCCATGACTCCCAGGACTGTGTGATTCTGGCCCCTCTTCCTCTCCTATAGGTTCCATCTCATCTCCTCCACTCCATCTACTCCTCTGTCCCTCTGTCTCTCTGTACTCATCTCTAAAATTCTCAGCCTGCCTTCTTTTTCCACTGCCCAATCACAGGCTCTAGCCTTATTTTTCACCTGCCTTCACCTGCTTACAGACAACAATCTACATTTTCCCCTTTTTGTCCAATTAAAAGGCTCTTTTCTCTCAGATATAAATTGAACAACATCCAGTCCATCATTTTTGTCAATTTAATAGAACACTTTATTATCTATCCTAACTTAAAAAGCCTTATAACTCAGTATCTTTATGTCCTGGTTTTAGCTTGTATACTATCTGAAAACTAACCTCTCAAGCCAGTCATCTAACATGTGTGTTCTGAGTAGGAAATTAAGGCCATTAATATTTAAAGTTATTATTGAAACAGATATGTAGATTGCTGTCCCTTTCTATGTGTGCTTTTAGTCCAACTTTGTCCATTTCTAATTGTAGCTAAATTTGTTTTCTTTCAATAGTTTTCTGACTAAAATATTTTTCTCTTAAGTCTAAAATATTCTTTTTAGTATTCTTTGTAGGTCTGATATTTTCTCTTCTACTTGATTCATTCTACTTGTAAGGCTTTCCCTGAACTTTCCTATTTGGGTTATTGAGTTTTTCAGTTCCATTTTTATTGTTACTTGAGTCCTCTTCATTATTTTTCTGGTTTTACTGAATTAAGATTTCATATTCTTAATTGTTTTCATCTTTTCATTCAGCTGTGTATTTGTGTTTGCTTGGACATCATTCAGATGTCTATTTTCAGCCTCTTCAAGTTTATTGGGGTATTTGACTGTGTCTTCTCTAAAAATCCTTGAATTGTTTGATTACATTTATAATTGTTCTTTTAAATTCTGTATTCAGAAGCTCATACAGATAATTCTGTTTTTTGAGAACATTCCTATAGGTCTCGTGAGTTTGGGACATATCATCCTGACTTTTAATTGTATGTGGTTTTTGTGATGTGACTGGGCATGTGAACCTCTTTTGCGATTGAGTCTGATGTGACATTCTAGTCTGCCTCTGATTCGATTGGTACAGGAATTGTGCAATGTGGGCAAGACCTGGGAACATGAGGGCGGTGCTGGTGAGCTCTATGGAGCTGAGTAGGTAAAGCTAAGTGTGAACTCTGCAGCTGGAGCGAGGCCTCCAAACACTTTCTCTCTTTCAATTTAGGGATATCTACTTAAGCCTGCCTCCAAGCAGAATGTAGAAAGAAGAAGAGGCAAAGGAGCAGGGGAAGAACTGGGAGGAAAAACGGAGGTGGAAGAAAAGAAGAGAAAAGAGGAACAGGAAGAAGAACAACAGAAGGAGGAAAGAGACACCCTTCATTCATCTCCTTTTTCCTGTATTCCTGGCTACCATTTAGAAGTGCCTGGTTTTCTGCTGCTGTTCATTGTTGCTAGTCGCCCTTCAAATGTTTCTCATAGTTTAAGCTTCGAAGTACCTTGTCTGCCAAACTCGCAGTACCTCCAGTTATTCCCTTAACACAATCTCTTGCATACTTGGACAATCTCCTATAGTCACTTATTGTACACAGGACAGAGGCCAAAACACACAGAAGGTGCCACACCCCTCTCCCCATCCTTTGCAGCAGTTGGCTTGGCAGCCTCATATTCTGTAGAATCAGAGATGTTTTGATTTATATCAGCTTGGAATTTTTATGAATCTCAGGCTTTGCCAATATTTGAAATTGACTGGGTAAGCTATGAGGTTTTCTACAGTGTTGCCTAGGGGAATTAAAGAAAAATCTAGGCAGGAAAACTTGGAAGCCAAAGTATAAAACAAACAGTGTGAACATTATTTCTTCTAGTCCCTTCAATGAGTGCACTACATTTCATGTTAGCATTTATTTCATTCTGAAATAGAGATATCCATGAACTTCAAACCCACAGAAGGTGTGAAGAGATTTGAATTCCCCTAAGAATGTCTGACCCAAATTTTCATCTGGAAAGTTCTTGAACAAAGTGAAACTAATTAGTATTGAAATACTGCTCTGCATGTAACCCAGCAGATTCTGCTTTTGAGTCAATGTTTGGAGAAATAAAGATTGGAATTTTTAGTAGTATACTATTCTTGAGCTTGTGTCAAGTAAATCAGCATCTTACTGTGTAGACCAGTCAGGTTTCAAACTCACCCACTGTCTTCCTGTCTCAGACTTCTAACAGGTAAAGGTTGACAGACCCAGATCGATTTACTTTTAAAAACACGTCCTCTGATGAGTAGGTAAGGCTCCAACTTTATGCTTCTTGTTGGTCAGACTCAGGGAAATCACAGACTGGATGCTGTACAAGTGCTGTTGTAATTGTATTGCCATCCCAGCTAATCAGAGCAGAAAAGCACAGTGTAGATTTGTGATTCTGAAACATAATGGGCACTTCCATTTAATCATTAAAATCAGGCCAATCAGAGGGCATGAACATCACTTGTATCTCATGTTACATCAAATTTTATATTTTCTGCTGATTTTAATAAGTATCAATTATGAGTTAATGAAGTTGACTTCCTAGCACCAAAGGTCTGTTTTCAGAGGCAAATACCTCATGTGAATATTATTTTAGCATCCAATGGTGAGATTTCACCTCATCCATAGCACCACTTCTAGACATTTCTATCAGTTGATGTTTAGTGAAAAAAAATGACAGAATATTCTTTCATATGTACTTGGCCAAAGGAATTGATTGGCTGATTGATGGCTGCACTTGGACCATGGCTGGATCTTCCTTTGCCTTCTCTTCTGAGCTTGTGAGATCCCACATGGACCTTTGCTTCTCTAGTGTGGCCAAATGGATATGTGGGCTTACTAATTTTGTACTGCTCAAGCAGTAAATATGTTAACAATACAGGGATCCTCTCAAACAAGAGGTAGGTGAAAGCCTGCCCTCAAGAGAATTATTTGCTGCCCTATATATTTTTCTTTTCTCTCTTTATTTTCTTTACATGGGTTTAGTATGGAGGCCCGTGGTAGACTATTTTTGGATTTCCTCTTGAAAGAGTCTTGATGATGGTGGCTTCCTACTCCACTATGAAACTGTCCTCTATAAGTAGTCACATTGTGGTGGTGGTGGTGGTGTGTGTGTGTCGGGGGTGTCACACACTCATGTTGGAACCAGGGAGCCAGGACTCACACTGTTCCAGTATTTGATTCTGGTTTGTTTGGGTTTTACAGAACAATTTGCAATGATGTCTTTTCCAAATTTCTGGTTATAGACCTTTGTGACTTCAATTTTTTTATAGACATTAATTACATTTTGACTCTTTGGTTTTGTTCATTTTCTCTGTCTACTTTCTATCCTCTATCAGCTCTACTCAGGGCTTCTGTTTCTACTCTCAATACCATTCCACTCATTTTCTTATTTTATATTGAGTTAAGTCAGATAGACACATGACATCTCATCCTGGTCTCTTGTATTTGTACTTGTTACTGTCTTTGTCTCTCTGAGGGAGAATAAGACAATCTTACAGCTTGATTTCAAGACTGCCTTTTTCCCTACCATGCAAGGCATCTCTCTCTTTCAGTTTTTCTCATTGTGTGGACAACTACCTGTTATTCTCTTCCAGCAAATGGAACTCCTATTTTATGCCTTCCTCAATCAAGTCTACTCCATTCTTCTCCCTCCTCATCCCTCCCTCCCTTTTACCTTCTCTCTTCCCTTCTTCTTCTTCTTTTTTTTTTGCATTTATAACTTTCTCGGAGGTAAATTTAGCCCTTTCATCAGAAACACAGGGCAGTAAGTGTCCCTGAGTTGTGAGAGCACTGAAACCTAAACATACAGTTCATAAAAATGTAGGTCTGTAGATACGCTTAAGGATTATCTTTCTTGTGCTCATTTCTACAGCACATATATTAAAATTGGAATGATGCAGAGATTAGCAAGGCCTCTGCTCAAGGATGACATGTAAATTTGTGAAGTGGTCCATGTTTTTAAGCAACAATCACTTTTCCTTAATATCTCTTAACATCAATGGACTCAATTCCCCAATAAAAAGGCATAGACTAATGGACTGGATATGTAAACAGGACCCAGAATTTTGCTGCATACAGAAAACACACCTCAGTGACAAAGACAGATACTACCTCAGAGTAAAAGGCTGGAAAACAATTTTTCAGCAAATAATCCCAAGAAACAAGCCAGAGTAGCCATTCTAATATAGAATAAAATCAACTTTCAACCAAAAGTTATCAAAAAAAAGGAAGGACACTTCATACTCATCAAAGGAAAAATATGCAAAGATGAACTCTCAACTCTGAACATCTGTGCTCCAAATGCAAGGGCACCCACATATATAAAAGAAACTTTACTAAACCTCAAAGCACACATTACACCTCACACAATAATAATGTGAGACTTCAACACCCCACTCTCATCAATGGACAGATCATGGAAACAGAAACTAAACAGAGACACAGTGAAACTAAGAGAAGTTACGAGCCAAATGGATCTAACAGATATCTCAAGAGCATTTCATCCTAAAACAAAAGAATATAGCCTTCTTCTCAGCACCTCATAGTACCTTCTCCAAAATAGACCATATAATTGGTCACAAAACAGACCTCAACAGATATAAGAAATTTGAAATAGTCCCATGCATCCTTTCAGATCACCATGGACTAAGGCTGGTCTTCAATAACAACAAAAACAATGGAAAGCCTACATATATATGGAAGCTGAACAATGCTATACTCAATGATAACTTGGTCAAAGAAGAAATAAAGAAATTAAAGACATTTTAGAATTTAATGAAAATGAAGGCACATCATAACAAAACTTGTGGGACACAATGAAAGCAGTGCTAAGAAGAAAACTCATAGCTCTAAGCGCCTACAAAAAGAAACTGGAGAGAGCATACACTAGCAGCTTGACAACACACCTGAAAGCCCCAGAACAAAAAGAAGCAAATACATTCAAGAGGAGTAGAAGGGAGGAAATAAACTCAGGGCTGAAATCAACCAAGTAGAAGCAAAAAGAAGTATAAAAACAATCGACAAAACCAGGAGCTGGTTCTTTGAGAAAATCAAGAAGATAGATAAACCCTTAGCCAGACTAATCAGAGGGCAGAGAGACAGTATCCAAATTAATAAAATCATAATGGAAAAGGGAGACATAACAATAGAAACTGAGGAAATTGAAAAATATTCATCAGATCCTACTATAAAAGCCTATACTCAACAAAACTGGAAAATCTGGATGAAATGAACAATTTCCTAGACAGATACCAGGTACCAAAGTTAAATCAGTGTCAGATAAACCATCTAAATAGTCCCATAGTCCCTAAAGAGATAGAAGGAGTCATTAAAAGTCTCCCAACTAAAAAAAGTCCAGGGCCAGATGGTTTTAGTGCAGAATTTTGTCAGACCTTCAAAGAAGACCTAATACCAATTCTTTTTAAATTATTCCACAAAATAGAGACAGAAGGAACACTACCCAATTCGTTCTATGAAGCCACAATTATGCTCATACCTAAACCACACAAAGACTCAACAAAGAAAGAGAACTTTAGATCAATCTCTCTTATAAATATCGATGCAAAAGTACTCAATAAAATTCTCACAAACTGGATCCAATAACACAGCAAAAGAATCATCCATCATGACCAAGTAGGCTTTATCCCAGGAATGCAGGAATGGTCCAATATATGGAAATTCATCAACACAATCCATTACATAAACAAGCTCAAGGGGAATAAAACTCATGATCATCTTACTAGATGCTGAGAAAGCATTTGACAAAATTCAACACCCCTTCATGGTAAAAGTCTTGGAAAGATCAGGAATTCAAAGGCCTATACCTAAACATAGTAAAAGCAATATACAGCAAACCAGTAGCAAACATCAAACTAAATGGAGAAAAACTTGAAGCAATCCCACTAAAATCAGGGACTAGACATGGCTGTCCACTCTCTCCTACCTATTCAGCACAGTACTCTAAGTCCTATCCAGAGCAATTAGACAACAAAGGAGGTCAAAGGGATACAAATTGGAAAGGAAGAAGGCAAAATATCACTATTTGCAGATTATATAATAATATACTTAAGTAATCCCAAAACTTCAACCATAGAACTCCTAAACCTGATAAACAACTTCAGCAAAGTTTCTGGTTATAAAATCAACTCAAACAAATCAGTAGCCTTCCTCTACTCAAAGGATAAACAGGCTGAGAAAGAAATTAGGAAAATACCACCCTCATGATAGTCACAAATACTATAAAATACTGTAGTGTGAATCTAACTAAGCAAGTGAAAGTTCTGTATGACAAGAACCTCAAGTCCCTGAAGAAAGAAATCGAAGAAGATCTCAGAAGATGGAAAGATCTCCCATGCTTGTGGATTGGCAGGATTAATTTAGTAAAAATGACCATCTTGCCAAATGCGATTACAGATTCAATGTAATCTCCATCAAAATTCCAAATCAATTATTCATAGAGATAGAAAGAGCAATTTGCAAATTCATTTGATAACAGAAAACCTAGGATAGCAAGAACTATTCTCAACAATAAAAGAACTTCTGGAAGAATCACTATCCTACACCTCAAACTGTACTACAGAGCAATAGTGATAAAAACTGCATGGTATTGGTACAGAGACAGACAGAAAGATCGATGGAATAAAATTGAAGACCCAGGAATGAACCCACATACCTATGGTCACTTGATCATAGGTGCTAAAACTATCCAGTGGAAAACAACCCCAGCATTTTCTATAAATGGTGCTCGTTCAACTGGAGGTCAGCATGTAGAAGAATTCAAATTGATCCATTTTTATTTCCTTCTACAAAGCTCAAATTCAAGTGGATCAAGAACCTCCTGGTAAAACCAGATACACTGAAACTAATAGAGGAGAAAGTGGGGAAGAGTCTTGAACGTATGGACAAAACTTTAGGGGGAAACTTTATGACACCAATGACTTATGCTCTAAGATCAAAAATTGACAAATGGGACCTCATAAAATTGTAAAGCTTCTGTAAGGCCAAGGACACTGTTAATAGAACAAAATGGCAACCAACAGATTGGGTAAAGATCTTTATCAATCCTACATCTGATAGAGGGCTAATATCCAATATATACAAAGAACTCAAGAAATTAGACTCTAGACAACCAAATAACCCTATTAAAAATGGGATACAGAGCTAAACAAAGAATTCTCAACTAAGGAAACTCGAATGGCCAGGAAGCACCTAAAGAAATGTTTAATATCCTTAGTCATCAGGAAAATGCAAATCAAAACAACCCTGAGATTCTACCTCACACCAGTCAGAATGGCTAAGATCAAAAACTCAGGTGACAGCAGATGTGGAGAAAGAGGAACACTCCTCCATTGTTGGTGGGATTGCAAGCTCATATGACCACTCTGGAAATCAGTCTGGTAGTACCTCAGAAAAATAGAACATTCCTGGGGACCCAGTTTTACCACTCCTAAGCATAAACCCAAAAGATGCTTCAAGGATACTTGCTCCACTATATTCATAGCAGTCTTATGTATAATAGCCAAAAGCTATAAGGAACCCAGGTGTCCTTCAACAGAGGAATGAATACAAAAAATGTGGTACATTTACACAATGAAATACTACTCAGCTATTAAAAACAATGACTTCATGAAATTCTTAGGCAAATGGATGAAACTAGAATATATCATCCTGAGTGAGGTAACCTAATCACAAAAGAACACACATTGTATGCACTCACTGATAAGTAGATATTAGCTCAAAGCTCAGAATACCCAAGATACAACTCACAGACCACATGAAGCTCAAGAAGGAAGACCAGAGTGGGGGTGCTTTAGTGCTTCTTAGAAGGAGTAACAAAATACTCATTGGAGGGAATACAGAGAGAAAGTGAGGAACAGAGACTGAAGGAGGGGCTATCTGGACCCTGCCCCACATGGGGATCCAGTCCATGTGCAGTCACCAAACTCAGACATTGTTGTTGATGCCAGGAAGTGCACGTTGACAGATGCCTGATATAGTTGTCTCCTGAGAGGTTTTGCCAGAATCTGATATGTACAGAGGCAGATGCTCACAGCTAATCATTGAACTGATCACAGGATCCTTAATGGAGGAGTTAGAGAGGAGATTGAAGGAGCTGAAGAATTTTGTGTCCCCATGGAGAGAGTAACAATATCAACCAACCAGAGCTCCTAGGGTCTAAACAGCCAGCCTGGGAACACACATGGAGAGACCCATGGCTCCATCCGTAAATGTGGGGGAGGATGGAATTGTTGGGTATGGGTGGGAGAGGAGGCCCTTGGTCCCATGAGGGCTGGATGCTCCAGTGTGGGGGAATGTGAAGGCAGGGAGGCATGGAGGCAGCAACAGGTGGGTGGGTGAGGGCACACTCTCATAGAAGCAAGAGGAGGGGGGTAGGATAGAGGGCTTCTGGGAGGGGAAATGGGGAAAAGTGATAACATCTGAAATGTAGATAAACAAAATATCCAATTAAACAAAAGAAATGCTGAAAAAAAGCTTTTAATTTGTATACTGATAGCCAATATATGGTTTACAATTACTTGAAACTCTTCCTTTTTTTAGATACTGCTAATTCCCAGATTTTGCAATCACTTATGCAAATACAACTCAATTTAAGAGAACATGCTGTTCCTTAGCTTTATAGGACATTTAAGAGCTCATACTGGATTGTTTGGACCCCTTAGGGCAATGCCAAAGCAGATTTGTATGCCAGGCATTAAGACTTCTCCTTAATGTCTTCAATTTCTACCTGTACCACATAATGGTGTTTATCCTTGAGGACTTATATCTAATCAAATATATCAAATGGAAGTTACTCATATTTCTGATTTTGCACAATTGAAATATGTACATCTGACTATTGATGCTCTCTCAGGCTTTCTAGTTGCAACTGCTTTAACAGGAGAAGCAATTAAAAATGTCATTAGTGATTGCCTACATTGTTTTTCTATGCTGGTTATTCCAA